TTTTAATAAACTTTAAAATTTTAAGTTTTACATTGAGCCAAAAAGCGTTCGGAGACTTTTGGCGGGGGTCTGTATAATATTAATTGCTATAATCTTTTAAATTAAATATTAAGATAACTAAAATAAATCCAATAATAATATATTATTATAAGCAAATAATGTATTTATACATTTAATAGATAGAATTTAATTATTTAAATATTAATATATATTTATTTTTTATAATATAACTACTCACTTATAATTTTAAATATTAGTATTATTAATAGTTTTAAAATAATAATTAAATTTTTATTATTTTTTTAATATTTATTTATTTTATATATTTATAATTTAAGTTTAATATAAAAAATTATTAGTTATAAAATAATATTATTTAAAAATATCTTTAATGTATTACTAATTAATATATTTATTATTGTAATATTTATAATTAAAGTATAAAAAATTGTAAAATTAAATACAATTAAATATTATTATAAAATAGGTATATTACTTGATTTAAAGAAAATTATTTTGATTAAAACTATAATAGTAGTAATTAAGGTTGCTTGTCTAAACTCATTTAGATTTAGCAAAATGTCTAAATTATAATTTTACTAATTTTTTATTAAAGTTTTGATATAGTTTCATATTTTTATAAGCTTTAATATAGTTTTACCTTTTTTAGAATTTTGCAGATTTTTAATAAAGTTTTAATATAATTTTACTAAATTTTATCTTTTTCCATTTAAACAACTTGCAAAATCTTTAGATTTCATCTAGCAACCTTAGTAATAATACTTTTAATAATAATAATATTGATCGAATTACTATAGAATTATTTTAGAATTATAAAATATAATTGATGAATTAAATTTATAAAATCCTATTATAGTTAAATAATCTATCTATATTAATAATAAAATATCAGTAAAATTATTATTAAATGAAAATTTTATAATTGCAATAATTTTAAATCTTAAAAAAATAATATAAAAGAGGATACTGAATTAAAAATAAATATTATTACTAATAAAAAAGCTTTAAATAGCTTGAAAAGAATAGTTCAATATTTTAAAAATCTATTTGATAATATTTTAATTTAATTATATAAAGTTAAAAATTCTTAATATTTTAAAATTGAAAATTAACATTTAAGATAATATAAAGTAATCTATATTATATAATTTATGTAATATTATATATTCAAATAATAAAATTAAAAAAATACATTATAAAAAAATTTTTTTATTTATATGATATTCATTATAAAAAATTATTTTGTATTTATTATAGTAAATAGAATTAAAAGTTCATTATAATAAGCTTTGAGTATATATTTTTATTATAAATATAATTTTTATTATTATACTATATTATTTATATTACATTTATTTTATATTTATACTAATAATATAAATTATAATTAATCTAAAATAAATTATAACTGGTTTATTTCTAATTTTAATATTAAACTAACTTTATAATTTATGATTAAAAATAGAATTTTATATATTAAAAAATAATAAGTTTGAATAATAATAAGTAAAAATTATAATAAATAATAGTATGATATAGATAAATAAAAATGTAATTATATTGATTTATAATCTGATAATATATTTTCTAAATCTAAATATATTTCAAATATAAATTAATTACATTTGAAATATTGAATATTTATTAAGAAATTAATAAAAATTATATAATTATTTTTAAACCAGATTTGATTATAATATTTAAACACAAAAAAGCTTTTTTTGATATATTTTAATAATAAAAATGATTAATAAAATATTTTAATATATTTATTAGTCTTATAAAAATGAGATATTTAAAAATTTATTAACGGCAATTTTTTAATTTTGAAATATTTTTCAAACAGTCCTGGCAGAAGTTAATAAAAATAATAATAAAGTTGTAAAAGAAATATAATCAAAATTATCTAATCAAATAAATGGTAATAAAGAAATTGGAATAGCTCTGAAGAAGAATCAGAAGTTTGCTTCTCAAAAGTGTGTGAATTAGAGGGATACCTTAAATTTTGAAGCTTGATTTCTCAAGTACACATCAATTGGAAGATGAACTGAAGGAGCTTTTGTATTAATTGGAAGAGGTAATTGACGAAATACTGAAGGAGCTTGAATTTTCAATGAAGAATCATGTATATAAATTGGAGAAAGAATTGAGACTCTGAAGAAGGATCGGGAGACTTTCCTTAAAGAATTAAAATGTGTAATAGTGGGACTAGCCATAGGAGAGAGAGTTGACATAGTTTTAGATTTCTCTTCATCAAAACGAAGCTTAGATCCTTCGCCTCGTTGTCTTGATTTAG